GGGGCCGCTACGTCCCCGCTCGGTGCTTTTCCGTGGATAAGTTCTGCGGGCACTTCGGCGCGCTCAAGAAAAACCTGCTCCCCCTCTTCGCCGTCATGTGCGGGAACGACTACGTGGAGCTGGCAGCCCTCGAGGCGTTCCTCAGCGCGGTGAGGTCGCGGAGGGGCGGCAGGAAGCACGCCCGCCTTCGGGGGCTCCTGAGCTGGCTCTCCCAGTTCACCGAGCCCGCCGAGGCTGTGGACAGTGTGCTGAAATACGTTAAGAAGCACCAGAGAGAAGAAGTACGGGACCTTCTGTGCGCCTCGATGGAGGACTATACCCCGTCTGACGTGAACCTTGAGGACTTCTTTCGGAGCAGCAGATACGAATGCGAGGTTGCCAGGGAAGCGGGCTTGCCACAGTGGGTGCTCGACGCTTTGGCAAAAGGTAAGCTGGCCCCGTTCATCATCAATGCCCTGATACTGAGAAGCACTTTCCTCCGTGTTCAGGTGGAGAACATGCAGAGACCTAGTGCACATAGCACAGCTTTGCCCATTCGACAAGTGATCTATGGACTCCTTCTGAAAGCATCTCAAAATACTGAAGCTGCTTCTCGAAGCAAGCAGGCCAATGAGCTGCCAGTTTTCAGTGAATTCAGCAGGCTCCAAAAGACACTTAAAAAAACCTTTGTTCAAGCAGCAAGCCTACCCACAGATTTTTGTGATAGTTTTTCTTTGGAGAAGTTAGTGGAGGTAAGTGGCTGTCACAACAGATCAGGGTTAGCAGTGTTAGCAGTGTTTCACAAGTGGCAAAACACAATTGGGACTCGAGTTTGCCAGCTGGTTGCTAAACATGATGCCTGAGCTAAATCACCTCAATAAATAACTCGTTAGTACAGGGGTACCAGCAGGGCTCTGAGCTTAGCCTTGGAGGGCTACACAGGTTATCTCCCCACACGTGTACCCATGATATGAAAAGTTGGTTGTATATAGTATTGTGTGTGTAGTATTGTAGATAATAATTTTGAGAACATTACCTCTTACAAAGCAAAAGATGTAAGGCAACTTCTTAAAGGCACAAAATGAAGTTTTATATGTGCATATTTATTTACCATACCAAAGTAATTTTAATGCATTGAGGTTACAATGTTTTCCAAGTGAGGCAACTTTTACATAGGAGTTTGAATTAAATCACCTGATTCAAAAAAGACTGAAACCTCTTGGCAACTGTGGGAAAAAATGCTTTTATCCTTAACCTAACATTTAACAGTGTCAGTTCTAAAGCTTAACTAGTAATTAAAAATGTTTCCTGTTCAGGGTATCTGTGAAACCTAAGTATTTTTTTTATCAAAACGGTGAACTACTACCTAGTTTAAAACAAGCTTATTTGCCTTTTGGAAATTGCTCACAGCAGGTAGTCTCTTACCTTTATTTTTCCATTCCAATTTATTTTCAGGTACCCATGCCACGCCATCAGATGCTTTTGCTGGAGACTCTAGGAGTGAAAATGAGTTTCCTGGAACCTATCCCTAGTCACTTACAGCTTCCTGTTGCTGTAACGTGTTACTGGATATGTTGTTCAGAACCAAAAGTTAAGTTGCATCAACTAAAGGCTTTACTTCTAATGATAGTATCTGGAGAACTGCACAGGATAACAAACGATCCAGGTATGTCTCCAAAGAATACAGTTCGGGTGTTCAGCTACTATGAAAATCTATCCCATAATTCCATTCTCATTTATGTCAAATCATCTAAATTCAGATGAATTAGCATGGATTTACACTACCTCCTGAGGTGTCACATTCCTTGCATTGATACAGAGCAGAGAAACAGTGCTAGTTGTCCATTTAACATTTGATAGAGGAAAAGCAGGACTTTGCCATCTTGTAAAACATTGGTTTGTGTTTATAAATGCTTTCTGTAGGACTAAAAGATTTAGATATAAAATATTTAGATACAAAAGAATATGCTTAACACACTCATGCATCAAAAGAGAATACCTATTGTTGGCGCATTCTGATAGATTTGGGGTTTTTCTTATGAGTTTTTCTAATGTCATCTGTACTTAAAAATGGAATTACACAAGCACCCTTTACCTGCCTGTGTATTGCAAGAGTTTGGAAGTTGTAAAGTATGACAGAAATTTTCAGTAATATTCATACCTCCTAGAGTTACAGTGGCATTTCCTGTAGGAGTCCTTCATTTGATGGCAAAGATGAGGCATGCCAGAGTTACACAGTTTCTTTAGGTTCATAGAAACTGGAATGTCAGGGTTGCCAGTTCCTTCCCAAGTGGGTAGGAGCGAGATGGAAAACTTGTTTGGACCTGATCCACTGACAGAACAGCGTAGCAAATTACCTAACAAATAAAATTCCTGATTTCACAATTTGAGATTCTTACGAATATTCATGCTTGAATTTTTACGCAATCTTATGTCTTATAGTTCAGTTTGAGACAGTTGAAAACTTTACTAAAGCTTCCTGAAACAGAACCGGAGGTTTGAAGACCTTACACATTGCAGATACGTCTTGAACTGTTCACAGCAGAACATTCATTTGCATGTCATTTTTCATTTATAACCCAGATGCCACAGGTTTATGTGCTGAAGATGAGGTTGTTGCATATAATGATTTTCTAAAATGGAAGGAAAAGAAATTGGAAAAGAAAGACTTTGATTTAGATGCTGCACACAGTTTTTGCCAGTGGCAGTGCTGTCTTCAGATGGGATTGTATCTCAACCAGCTACTTGGCACTCCTCTCCCCGAGCCAGACCTAAGTAGGTAAGGATGTTTCAGAGGTTGGCTTTCCACACAAGCCATTGATGGAATGTGTTCACTTGTTTTATTTTCTCTGTCAAAATCCTCCAGCCAATTTTACTGCATTTGAACTCCCTTCTTGAACATACTCATATGGAGGAAAATAGTCAGTAGAATAGGTATCCCTTAGGAGCCACTAAGGATACCAATAGGTATCCAGTGCTGGATGCTGTATGTCGTTAAGATCTGTTTTTTCATTAAGCAGCATGTTTTTCTGTATCTGTCCTGCTGAGGTGTGATTCTACATGGGAATTCTTTCCTTTCTTTGAGCAGGCTTTACACTGGGACCCTTGTGCACAGACTGTGTCAAGAGCTTAAATCCACACCTTCAGTGGAAAATCTGTTTAGTTCATCTCCAAAAATGACTCAGCTTTATCAGGATTTGTTAAATACAGTGGAGTCAACTGTATCTCCAGACTTCTTTGAGAAGATCAAGGTTTGCAAGACCAAATCTGAGTCCTGCAAAAAGAAGAAAGCATCTAGTAAGGAAAAAAAAGCCATCAGGTGTGCTATACCAGAAGCTCAGCACTTATGCAGTGTTAATAGGTTTGCAGCACTTGAAGTTGATGACTGAAAGTATTATTCCTGGACTAACTTTTAGTGCCATGCAGATGAAAGACATTCTGTGAAAACAAGTGACTCTATTGGAATTTGCCTGGCTGTTCTCACACAAGTTACTGATTCAGTCTTTCCCAATAATTCTTGCTTTGGGAATTTTATTTACTTTTTTGGTAACTAACACGTACAAAAGATGTGCTGTATGAAAGTTCTGGTTTGCTTTTTAAAGGCATCAGTCTGAATGAAAATGAGAGCAGAGTTGTTCAGCATTTCAGGGTTGGACTATTCTAGAGGAATTCTTTTCTGAACATTCCAAGCATGAGGAAAAGGCTGAGGTACTTAAAGACTGAGGCAAAAGCAGCATTAATAGTCACACCAGCCATCCTCAGGGTACTCAGTCCCCTGAGCTGGGTGACAGAAATGGGGAGCTGATTGAAGTCCCTATAAGCCAGAAGGAAATGGTTGGTGACCCCCTGCTCCACTTCAACATACACAAGTCTATGAGGCTGGATGGGTTCCACCCAAGAGTGCTGAAGGAGCTGGCAGAGGAGCTCGCTAAGCCACTCTCCATCATCTCTCAGTGGTCCTGGTCTAGTGGGCAGGTCCCAGAGGATTGGAGGTTGGACGATGTGATGCCTCCCTGCAAAAAGGGCAGGAAGGAAGACCCAGCAACTGCAGGCCTATCAGCCTGAGCTTGGTGCCGGGCAATGTCATGGAGCAGATGATCCTAAAGTTAGATCATAGAGCACATGTGGGAAAACAGAGGGATCAGGCCCAGTCAGCATGGGCTCATGAAGGGCAGGTCCTGCTTGACCAACCTGATCTCCTTCTACAATAAGGTGACCCACCTGGTTGATGAGGGAAAGGCAGCTACTAAAACCTTAATATTGGTTATTGTTATGAATATAATATCTTTCAAAACTATTTGGAAGACGTGTTTATACCAAAGTAGTAAACCAACAACTACCTTGTCATTACAGATAGCGTTAGAATCAGAAGAGAATTGTTAAAACAGTAGAATTCTGCACTAATGTAAAAGATTGGCTTTTATCACTTGACAGGTAGAAAATGTAATGGAAGAGCTGTGAAAAATGGAGCAACCAATTCCCTAAAGAGTTCAGTTGAAAGCAAAACATGAGGATTTGTTGTTTGTTCTTGGCTAAAGCCACAGTTGAACTGATCCCAGGTGCCAGCTGTGTTCAGAGTGCTGCTGCTGGTTCTCTCAGGAGGGAACCCAGCTGGCAGCTGCTCCACATTGTCACACACTCCTCACTCTGGTGTCTTCCTCTGGGAAGCAGCCCCACTTGCAGGCTCCACCTCCCAGCCCAGGGATCTAGGGAGCAAAGAACACTAAGTTCCAGCATGTCCACTACGGCAGCACCTGGTGGTGGCGTGACCTCATTCAGGCCACAGTAGTCCACTGTTGGTCTCCACTCTCCATTAGACTTTTGCATGGGTCATATGGAGCTATTGACAGGTGAGCGGGTCCTGCTAATAATTCCTTGGCTCTCCAGTTGGCTCAGCTCATGGAGGGAATCAGGGAGTCTTGGTTGGTGTGATATTGCCACTGGTGCCCTGTTGTGGCGATAGGCATGACTTCCTCAATGTCCTCTCTGTGGTACGCAAGTAAAACCAGCAATCTCTGAACCTTTTCCTGTTGCAAACTTGTATTTTGTATAATAAAAGCCTTCAGCTGAAGCCCGTCTTGTGTAAGTCTCGAGATTTGACTTGGTGGCGTTGTCAGCACCGGTCCCTGAATAGGTTTGTTGACTCACCCTCTGACTTGCTGGGCTGTCCAGTATGTGGACAGGCTGGTCCTACAAGGGTCTCGTCTCTCCTGGGACTCTGCAGGCTGGTCAAATGTAAAGGATTGGAGAAAACCCCCTTTATGACAGTCCCGGCGTGTGGGACAAATTTGGACAAGTAGGTGCCTGCACTACACATTCCTTTAGACATAAACCATTGGCAAAGTCTTGAGACTGGGACTGGATCTAGTGGCACCAGCCTCCCTGGTACCTGAGGATCAGCTGGGCATATGCAGAGGGAGTCAAGGCCCCCAAAACCTCCTCAGGTATCTCGGGCGGGGGGGATCCCTGGGCACACTGAGCAGGGGGGGTACATTTCTGGTTTACACACAAACTATTCACTGAATACCAAAGCACTTGACATAAACCCAATCCCTGGTTTAAAGACACAGAGCTAGTGATCCCAGGTGCATGTGGCTCTTTGCTGCTTCCGGAGCTGGGGCAGTGTTACTCTCAACCATGGGTATCCCACACATACCCCATGGGCATCACATGCATGTCCCACGGGTGTCCTGGGTTTCACATGTCTCCCATGGGTGTCCCACGAATTTCAGATGTGTCTCACGTGTCCCACAGGTATCCTATGTCTGCCCCACGTGTCCCGCATAGGTCCCTGTGTGTCCTGGAGCTGGGTCCCGTGAACTTGACCTTCAAGCTTGTGGCACACGTGTGGTTGGGGCTGCGCCTTTGCTTCCTCTGCACCACGGGGAGGGATGGGGGGTTCCTCACCCCCACCCTTCCTCCCCCCCACCACTGGGCGTGCTAAGTCACCTACAGCAACTCCTCTGTCATGTGCCTCAGAGCAGGGACACCCCATGAGTCCCCTCCTGACCCCCCCCAAAAAAAACCTGCACCCCAGGGACCCCCATTCTGACATCCCTCCCAAAGAACACCAGCACCAGCTGCCAAACAGCTATTTTATTAACTGTCAACAGACTGGCCCGTGGGGG